GTGCAGAAGGCCGGACGGGTCACAGAGGTGACTCCGGTAGAGTGATAATGATAGATTTTGAGCTCTAGGTTCAACCGTATAGGGCTATTAGAGGGCCTACGGTTGATTACTTTCTTGCACCTGATATGATTATGTTGATGCATTCATACCTTATTACTGTTGAGATGATGTGGCATGGCATAATTAATATGAGAAATGTTGAGATGACATGGCATGGCATGATTGATAAAGAGATAATGTTGAGATAGTAAAAATGAAGTTTTGAGAATATATATGTATATTTATATTTTACATTTCTGGGAAAGTATACAGGTTTTACGGAGAGGGGTTACAACGTTTTGAGAAATGTTTGGATTTGGAAAAGAATTGTTTTACTGACCCACTCAATTTTGGTTTTGCGCCCCTCCAGGTTCAGGAATCACAAAGGTGTGGTGACTACGAGGAATTCGACGGTGTTCTGACAGATTGGACAAAATTAGGACTCACCTTCGGGTGTATCAATTTAAATTGTATCTTAAAGCTTCCGTACTGTGCAAATGGTTACGTCACTCTCACGTGACGGCCAGCATGCCCTCCTTCGGGACGGGGTGTGTCATTACCACAGTGCGAAAAATTATATTGTCTAATTAATAATGTACATGTTATTAATTTTTCTTGAACTTTAAAAAATAAAGAACACGTTTTGTTATTGAACCAAATAAGAAAATGATTACATAAAGTACTTACTAACCTGTATCCAAGTATAATCCAGAAAAAATTACAATATGTCGGTGTTGAATATTCCTGCATGCATGCACTGATTTATCACCGTCCTCCCGTTTAATGGTGTGTGGGAGTTACCAACATCATGAGAATTTACTTTAAAGCCAATTAAGGGAATTTTACGTTATATTATTCATATTGCACATTAAATGTATGATTTTCAGTTTTGTTGTTTTGTTTCCGCTGGAACTCTAAGCTTTCCAAATCATGTATAAAATACCACGTAGATTTTTTCCTACCCCTTGTTTGGTAGGTAAGACGAGAGAACAAACACATTCCAAATCATGCACAGGTTAGTAGGCAAAGCAGACCACACAAAATGCACGTGCCAACAAGCCCCCTTCCCCTTAGGTAGTTGAGGGTTTCTAACGAAGTAATGGGTCAGGCACGTGATCCTCATCTACCCTCTCTTCGCGTTATATAAATATATCCACTTCCCTTAACATTGTGTCACACCCTTTACCTGCTATCTTACTTACCCTTGCAACGTCCTCTAACTCCTCCTCTCTTCGATCTTTCTTGACGACCCGATCAAAATGGTGACCGTCGAAGAAGTTCGCAAGGCTCAACGGGCTGAGGGTCCGGCCACTGTTTTGGCCATTGGGACAGCAACTCCTCCCAACTGTGTGGATCAAGCCACATACCCCGACTATTACTTTCGTATCACCAACAGTGAGCACAAGACTGAGCTCAAAGAAAAATTCCAGCGCATGTGTATGTACCAATTTTTTTTTGTTCTCATTTCTCTTTGAATAATTATCTGTTTTGTCATCATCTGTTACAATTTGTTCTTATTTCTCTCTTTAGCGTTTATTCATGATATGAATTCCATATTTGTAAATAATGAAGAACTACGAATATAGCCACAGAGAAACAAAATTCAAAGTAATGGTCATGGCTTTTCTCTCTGTAAACTACTTATATACGAAGAGGGGGCAATTGTATTAATATAAGTAGAAAACAGTACTTTTTTTTAAGGGGAAAAACAGTACTAATTAAACAACAATATTATTTCCATACAGTAATTTAAAAACAAATTTTTTTCTAACTTCATATTTGTGATAGTGGTTCGCTTCAATAGTTATATCGTATTCATTGGTACTTGAAATTAAAATATTTTCTGGTCAAAAATAGAAATAGCATGAAGAATCTAGTAACTGGAAAAAGAATTAAACCACCAATTAAAGATGAACAAAACCTCCTTGCTGCCCTGCACAACAGCCTGTCAGAAAGGACTTATGGGGAAACCTAATTAATAATTGCATTTATTTATTTTCCATGCAATCAATAAATGTACTTAAAGGTCCAGAAAATTGATTCTTGAATAACATATGGTACCTAACTTTTCAGGTGACAAATCTATGATCAAGACGCGTTACATGTACTTGACTGAAGAAATTCTGAAAGAGAACCCAACTGTGTGCGAGTACATGGCTCCCTCACTCGATGCTCGGCAGGACATGGTGGTTGTTGAAGTCCCAAGGCTTGGCAAAGAGGCTGCCACCAAGGCCATTAAGGAATGGGGACAGCCCAAGTCCAAAATCACCCACTTGGTCTTTTGCACCACCAGCGGTGTCGACATGCCCGGCGCCGACTACCAACTCACCAAGCTCTTGGGCCTCCGCCCCTCCGTCAAGCGCCTCATGATGTACCAACAAGGTTGCTTCGCCGGCGGGACGGTCCTCCGTTTGGCCAAGGACTTGGCCGAGAACAACAAGGGTGCACGTGTTCTTGTTGTGTGCTCTGAGATCACCGCAGTCACCTTCCGCGGGCCTAGTGACACCCACCTTGACAGTCTTGTGGGTCAAGCCTTGTTTGGTGACGGCGCAGCGGCCGTCATCATTGGTTCGGATCCAGTGCCCGAAGTCGAGAAGCCCTTGTTTGAATTGGTGTCAGCAGCACAAACCATTCTTCCCGACAGTGATGGGGCTATTGACGGCCATCTCCGTGAAGTAGGGCTTACATTTCACCTTCTCAAGGACGTTCCTGGGCTTATTTCCAAGAATATCGAAAAGAGCCTTAACGAGGCCTTCAAGCCTATAGGCATTTCAGACTGGAACTCGCTCTTCTGGATTGCACACCCAGGTGGCCCTGCTATTCTGGACCAAGTAGAGTCCAAGTTGGCCCTTAAGCCGGAGAAACTAGAAGCTACAAGGCAAGTGCTGTCTGATTACGGCAACATGTCGAGTGCGTGTGTCTTGTTTATTTTGGACGAAGTGAGGAGGAAGTCTGCTGAGAAAGGACTCAAAACAACTGGAGAAGGACTGGAGTGGGGCGTACTCTTCGGATTTGGGCCTGGCCTCACTGTTGAGACCGTTGTGCTTCACAGTGTGGGTGCTTGATGACATGAAAATCGGTGTTGATTTATCTATCTGCTTCGTTTATGTATTGTTTCCGCCTTTTCTGGTTAGAATTTGGCTTTTGGGATATTGTGTGTGGGCGTCATGGGGTTAACTTGGTGCAAGGAAGGACCCTTACTTTCATGTTGTTTACTGCAATATTGATGAAAAAAGGGCCCTGATTGGGCAATGTAATGATGAGTAAAATATGGATTGACGAATAATACCACTCTTTGATTTTCATGTAGTATAATCTCTTAGCTGCATCTCCATTTCAAACATTGTGGTAAAGCCCTGCCCCTGATTTGGGATTCGGGAAGTCTTTGCTCGTGTTGAAATAGATCGTAATGTGTAAATGGCGATCAATGGAGGGGATTTAGGGATACTTCTGTGGTGAGCCTCGGAATCAGAGTTGTCATAAAGGATATTCTCCTAATGCCAGCTTGATCTCATGATAAAGCGAGGTGGCTCCGGGAGCGTGTATTGGGCTCTTCGCAGTGAAAATTTTAGGAGTACCGGCACTTGTGCTAAGTAATGTTCCCAATTTCACACTCAGATATTATTTACTTTCTTTTCAATTAGCTCAATTTTGGTGTTAAATTTTTACAAGTGGGGAACACCACCTGGCACAAGTGGCGAGAACACAATGTAGACGGATTAGGGTTTGCAAAAGCTATAGCACATACGTTTGAAAGGCGAAAACCCGTGGAAGTGAAAAAAAAAAGGAGCTTACACCCAGATTAATTTCCTTTTACGCCTGGGGAGAGGGAGAGAGAGAAAGAAGAATGGCAAAGCAAAAAAGCGAAAAATTTGAAAGAAAAAAAAAGAATGATGACTCGGACGTTGCTTAATCCCGTTTTATCCCACGTTGGAGTGTGAGAGTCTGTAATACCAAGCAACAACTGAAACTCATGGCAGCCTCTACCCCTGTTTTTTTCCCACGTTGGTTTCGTATATATCTATATCTATATATATAAAGTGAGAAGCACACAATGATAAAGCATTCTGAAATGCCAAAAATGTCCTCATTTCATATCAGCAGTTGCACAGACTAAAGATGGAACCGTCCTCCATCGCACGTTCTTGATCACCACAGTGCATACAAAAGAGTAAATTGGGTAATTTTCTCGAACAATATTCTTATCTATGCCAAAATTTTGAAATGAGTTTCCGCCAGAAATTTTCATTTTCTGCTTCAATTCAGGTACTCTATGCCTAATTGAATTGTTCATATCTACTAATGTTTGATTTGTTAACTAATTGCCCACTTTAATACATAACTAGCCTCTCTGCACGCACTAACGTGCGTGCGAGAGATATTTTTGCATCACGGGTGCTACGCGCCCCTAAAAGATGTATTGTATTAGTTTTTTTCCATTGTAATTGTCAAGATATACTTTAAATGTATTGTGCATAGAGGAACTTTTTTTTTTTACCATGCATGTCCTAAAAAATTATCATGTTTTTCATTTTTACTTTGCGTAACGTAAAGATTTAAATGTTATTCATACTCATGCGAGAGGCATTTTTTCATCACGGGAGCTACGCGCCTCTAAGAATGTATTGATTTAGTTGTTTTTTTATTTGCCCATCCAAAATTTTAAACTTTGAAATACTAACACTCATTTTTCCAATGAATTTGTGAGAGGCCAACATCCATGTTTCCTCCTACCTTTTTAATAGATACCTTCAAGTGTGTATTTTCTTCTTCTTTTGATTAGAAGTAGTAAGCACAATCCTGGAATAGTATTTCTCCAAGTTGAAGGAAATTTGCATTCTATTGAAAAAAAACACACGTGCTCTACCTTTTTTAACCGTTCAGAGATCGAATAAAATTGGCACACTTGTTCGGACGTTTTCTACCAACTTAACATAATAATAAGTATGATCACAGTCAGCTACCACGAAAAATGGTTGAATTCCACCTTGGTCAAAAAAACTTAAACTTGTTCAAATGTTATTTTGAGTTTAAAATTGATAAATAAATAAGACAAAATAACCTAACTATCCAATCTCTATTCTTCTCTTGATCCTCCCAAATTTGTATTTCAATGGGATAAATGTAAAAATTATGTCTTTGAACTGAAATTGTTTAATCCTCCAAACCTAAAAGGAGAGAAGCACATAAATAGAATGAAGCTAAACATAATCTTTCAAATCAATCTCGTACATCACAAATGCCACTACAGAGTGGAACTTGATCTTTATATGTAAAACTCCACAACACCACCTTATACATTATGTTGGCTTTTTTTTTTTTTTTTTATCAATAATGTGAAAATTTTGATCTTTATCTATACAGTACATGTAAAATTTACTATCAATAATTAATCATGTAATATGCACATCAATCATCTTAACCTAACTATTAGTCATATAGAGCATTTGGTTTTCATTTGTAAGCCATCATTAAAATAATAATTTCTGCGCAAATCAAATAACAAATTCACATATAAATACACTACTTTACATTGGTATCAAATTAACTTTTACAAATAGATCAGTATATAAAATGGACATTATTGATGCATAAAACCGAAGGTCTTGGAACAACGTAAATCCGACCGTGAATCTGCAAGAAATGTAAATAACACAAGATGTATCGTGGTTCACCCCAAAGTTTGGGCTACGTCCACACTGATTGTATTGTATTTCTCTGAGAAGTGAGGGAGAGAGAGAGCTCTGAGAGTGAGAGCTTTGAGAGGGGTGAGAAGGCTCTAGAAATGGCCTCCCAATTGTGAGGGTGAGGGGTCCTTTTATAGAATAAGGACTCCTCACTTATTACATATTTGCCCATTCCTTTATTACCTAATTACATTTAAGTCCCCCGAGTATTTATACGAGGTCTAAATACGAGGCCCTAAATATGGTATAAACAGTAGTCCCCCAAGTCTTCAGTCAAGAGAGTCTTTTGGCTGGAGACTTGAAATTCAGTCCATGTGTGGGTCGAAGTAACTAGATGTTGTCTTGAACTAATGTTCGATATGAGGTGGTGCTCAATTTGAAATGATGCTCAACTAGAAGTAGCACATGTTGCGAGGCTGCTCGGCTCGTGGCTTATGTTGCCTTGGTTGGCTCGGCTTATGGCGTTGAAGGTGAGGAAGTCCCTTTTATAGAATAAGGGATCGCTCATCAATACATGAATGATGGGCTAAAATTGATGCTCTCTAATGGTGGTAAGGGAGTCCCTTTTATAAAATAAGGGCTCACTTCTCAATACATAAGTGATGGGCTAAGTCCCCCAAGTATTTTTCATGAGGTCCAGTTGAGGCCCAATATATGGTGTATAGTGTAGTCCCCCAAGTTTTCGGTCAATAGAGTCTGTTGGCTGGAGACTTCAAATTGAATCCATGTATGGGCCGAATTGGCGGTTGTTCGGAGGTGGTATTTGTATACCCTGCACTGAAGCTTTGTAGGTGAAGCTTTGCAAGTGAAGTTTTGAAGCTGGGGCTCTGTAAATAAAGCTTTTGAAGCTAGAGCTTTTGTAAATGAAGCTTTTAAAGCTAGAGCTCTGTAAATGAAGCTTTTGAAGCTGATTGACATGAATGATACTCATTAATGTTTGATTGACATGAGTGATGCTCATGGATGTTGTCATGAGTGATGCTCATGAATGTTAACATGAGTGATGCTCATGAATGTTGACATAAATGATGGTCATGAATGTTTGTGTATGATTGTTATGAGTGATGCTTATGAATGTTTATGTATGAATGACATGAGTAATGTTCATGTATAATTTGGAATACTGGGCATACTTTTGATCACCTGGTTGGTGGCATGAATGAGAGTACGGGTTGTACATTTCATTACCTGGTTGGTGGCATGAATGGCTAGTTGTCAAATGATATTAGAGTACGGGTTGTACATTTCATCACCTGGTTGGTGGTAATAGCGGCAGGTTGCCGAATAATTTTGGAGTACTGGGTGTACTTTTGATCACTTGGTTGGTGGTAATAGGAGAGTACGGGTTGTACATTTCATCACCTGGTTGGTGGCATGAATGGCTAGTTGCCAAATGATATTAGAGTACGGGTTGTACATTTCATCACCTGGTTGGTGGTAATAGCGGCAGGTTGCCGAATAATTTTGGAGTACTGGGCGTACTTTTGATGACTTGGTAGGTGGTAATAGCGGCGGGTTGCCGAATAATTGTAGAGTACTGGGCGTACTTTTGATCACCTGGTTGGAGCTATTTTGGGCTTATGGGCCTTTGCCCTCTACCCAAAATTCCAGCCCATTTATTTTGGGCTTTGCTGTTTTTTTTTTGTTTTTTGTTTTTTTTTTTACCACCTGACGGGGTTTATACATATTACCCTCTGTTGGAGTTTATACATATGTCTCTGCAAGATAAAATAAATTACATCATTATGGTGGAGTGTTTATTCCTTGCTTTTGCTTTCTCTTTTGCTTCCTCTTTTCTCTAAAATGACAGCTACTTTAGACAGCCTTTCTGACATTGCCCATTTGCTTTTCTCTGGCTTTTAAAAAATAGGAACATGCATCCGTCAACAAAAGCAAAAGTACAAACTTTCTCTTTTAGCTTTTGCTTTTACTTTGCAGAGTGCAGATAGCATTCACGTTCTCTGTTTCCCTTTCTGCTTTTGCCGACAAAAGCAGTGGATGATGTTGGCGTGACAGGTGATTGAGGAGAGGCAACTGGATATGACTGAGGATGAGCTCTTTGCTGTTGATAATTATACTGCAGATGGTGGCTCTGATAATTATATTGATCTGATCTTTTGATTCTAGAATTGGAATTCGGGGTACTCGAATAAGAGTAAGATCGAGAAGTGTTGATTTCAACTGTTTTGATAGGATCTCTCTGATCAAACGAAGCTCTGCCTGGATTGATCTCATGTTGCCTTCTTCTTGTCCAACCATCAAGCAAATTAAATTTCTCCTCTAACTCCTCATGCTCACCAGCATCTTCGTCGCTGCTACCACTACTCAATTTCTGGCTAGAGAAGGAATAAGCAAGGCTGGTACTCCCTTCACGCTTCAAGGCAGTTTGCTTGGTTTGCTGTTGATATTTAGAAAGAGAACTTCAATTTTCTGTAACATTGCTTGGTTCTCTTTCATTTTGCCTCCGAGTGAGGTGGGGTAAGTGGAGAAAGCAGGGATGAAATACTGGCATGGTCTTGGAGACAGGTTGGATGAAATAGTTGTTGACCCAGTCATTGCCTCCGAGAGTTATGAGCACAAATGCACTGTTCACTAGCCGTGTTACCTGTTTTGCTCCAACAAGCGCAGTCAGTCGTTGCTGGTATTGTTGGAACAATTCAAACTGCCTGAAGATCCTTATAATAGTAAGCAGGAAGAAGATGAGGCCCAGATCTGATGGCGCCACGATCTGGTGGGCGATGCTGACCGACTACATGTAAGGAGATGGACCCAGATCCACCGTCGTGAGTGGAAGCAAGAGCGAAGCTGGAGCTGGTGACAAAATATCCATCAGTGGTACATTCCAAGTTTTCGAGGCTTCGACCAAAACAGCGACGGAGGGTTCGAGTTCAGGAGCAGGAGAGTCAAGGCGAAGCGAGCCACGGGCTTCCAATTCGAAGCTCGATGACAGGGTTTCGTTCACTTCCATATTCAACCCAGGCCATTGATTTGGATCACCAAGTCAACCCGGTTCATGATTCGGAGGATCCGATTCCTGTGATGGATCTCCAGAGCCTGAAACTTGGAGAAGCTTGACATCGATGAGATCAGGGATGCCAAAGAGGCACTGATGGACTGAAGCTGGTGCTTGTGTCGCTCCTTCTCAGAGATGGTGACGGCAAAGGCAACACCCACAGGTGGAGTGCTGTCGTCGGGATACACCTCATTTCCCTTCTTATGCGTCTGGTTCTTCGACAGCTCTTTGTCTTGGAGGAGAAAGAGAGAGATTTACATTTGGATTTCTTTTTTTATTTCTTTTGATTTCTTTTTTTGTTTTGGTTTCTGTGTAGGACTGACCGAGAGATGAGAAAGAGAGAGATTTGGTTTTTTGGATTTTTTGTGATTTTGCAGATCCACGGTGGTGGTATGAAAAATTGAGAAAGAAACTGACATAGTTTTTGTATCGATTCCCACAGACGGCGCCAAATGTTGATGTATAAAACCGGAGGTTTTGGAACAACGTAAATCCGACCGTGAATCTGCAAGAAATGTAAATAACACAAGATGTATCGTGGTTCACCCCAAAGTTTGGGCTATGTCCACACTGATTGTATAGTATTTCTTTGAGAAGTGAGGGAGAGAGAGAGCTCTGAGAGTGAGAGCTTTGAGAGGGGTGAGAAGGCTCTAGAAATGGCCTCCCAATTGTGAGGGTGGGGGGTCCTTTTATAGAATAAGGACTCCTCACTTATTACATATTTGCCCTTTCCTTTATTACCTTATTACATTTAAGTCCCCCGAGTATTCATACGAGGTCTAAATACGAGGCCCTAAATATGGTATAAACAGACATAAATTTAAGAAAGTGACTAAAATTTTCAGTATTTGCTTGGGAACACTTGCATCCAATCATAGACTAAAAAAATAATCTATTCAGAAAAATAAAAGAGAAACGAAAAAATTACTTACAAATTCCTTGCCGTCTTCTTCTTATTCAAATTTTCATCTCTAACAAAAGCTCTGAAAATAAAAGTAAAACTGTAAAAGTCACAAAAAACAATCGAAGAGAGTCAATCGGAAACCGCAAATATCACAAAGCAATCCAAAACCAAAACAAAATTAAAATAAAACTGCAGTAGAAACCCAATTAGAATATTGCGATCCCGTGGCCTGATGCTTCATCTCTGAAATGCCTTTTTTTTTACTTTTATGCTTTTAATCTCTTGGAAGTCCATAACATGGCAGTCTTGGAATTCCATCATAAAAAAAACTCAAACCTTTTCTATCATTTTGACACATGTACGAAAAATTGTTCAAAAGAATTACAGATAGCCTAAGTTAAAGAGTATGTTAATACAATACCTTTACATTTTATTCACTTGGTGGTGCAGTCTTAATACATATATCCTAAGTTTTTAGAAATTTAAATTAGCTCATGCAAACACATCATTAAAGTCTTCTAAAAAATTTGACCATTTGTGTGATCACTCTTCTCGACCTATGTTGATCTCATCTCTAATGCATGAATTCCTTCTTTGTGAGAAATATCTACATGGGCCAATCCACCCATGTATATGCATTGCATCAAGAAGAGAACATGTACTCATATGTTGACATTTCATGTAAAGAGTGTGATTATTCGTGTCTCCTAACAGTTAATCTTCATTTAGGTTTGTAACGGAACTCTATATCGATCAATTCAAAATTTCTCACCACAGTTTTCATGGATTAGAAACTGAGAATCTTGTTATTTCCAAACTGAATCTAATTTTTGCACCGGCGCTATATGAACCCCTAAACATCACTTTACATTTGTTTCATGAATGAGTAAACAATAATGGTATTAACGTTAAACTATAGGACCTGGCACAAACACTTTTACTAATCAAGCGCGGGACATATTTATCCTTATTTTGTGATAAGGATGATCATGCAAACAATGAATTGCCGTGAATGGTCACCATTACTATAAGGAAACTCAAACACACCCATAATGCAAGCAAAACTCTTACGCAGAGGAATATAAAAGTTTATCTAATACAGTATCATGTATATTTTCCACACAAAATTGTATTCGGCTTTCAAAATCACATCCATATAATATATTTCAATATTAGTTCATCAACTTTTAAATGTGAAGATTGGAGAATGCTTACCAAATCGTTCTTGAAGGTTAGCGATTTTAGGGGTTTGTGGGTTTTCAGATGTAAAAGAGGGAGTGCGTGTTTCATCCAACAAGATTCTCAGTCTCTCATTAAAATGTTCATAAACCCAGTTGAAAATAAGCACATTCACTTGCAAAATGTCTCCTTTGTAATTGAACCCATATATTGATGGAGTCATTCAAGAGTCATCCACAAATGCTTCTCTCCAGCATTTGAACTCGCTCCAACTGGAACTGATCTCAAAAAATATAAAATTCAAGTAATCGGGAACTAAAGATGAAAGAAAATACAAATCAAATTTGATAAACTGTGAGACCTGTAAATGCCGATTGATTAACCCACCCAAGGTTGCAGACGTCTTCACTGGCTTTTTGTAACATCTCTCGGGTAGTTACATTGAACGTTTTAACCATCGTTATTCCTTCATTGGCAATGTGAAGGTCTCTTTTGAGGTTTTCCTTACTAAAACAATCTCTACACATTTGATAACCTTACATTAATATCCAATTCAAAAGAAACCAACAATCCCACCAAAAAAATAAAAATCTCCTTCCCCCTCCAATCTACTACTGATAAATTAATAAGTAGAATCAAACACACACACTCATTCCTTCATACCTAATGATATTCAATGCAACTGACAATTACACACTTATTCCATGAATGGGTCGAAGGAGAAGTACTCTTCATCCCTACTTTTGCAAGTCGTCGTTCCCATCGCAAAGGGGTTGGAGCAGATAAATTTTGGTTTGAAAGGAATCAAATTTCATGCCTGCATAAAACCCCATAGAATATGAAGAATTTTATTTATTTATTTTAACGAAATAAAAGCAGATTAGGCACAAAGAAAAATAGAGATAAATCAAAACCTTTAAAACAAATCAACACAATATCATGAACCCTTGCTTATGATAAACTTTGTTCTTTAATTCGTGTCAGTAAATACAAACTAAAATTGACTTGGAAATACTAAATACAAACTTATATATACATCCTCAAAGCTGCAGCAGCAGTAGAGCGCATCAAATTCATCACCTAAAAGATAAACCGTTAAAAAAAACCTAAAAACTAAAAAGGTAAATTTAGATAGAGATTTACCCAAAGTTACTCAAACCTTTGAACTTTGGAGCCTAATAGAATCATCTTGGCCCTATAACAAAAAGGAGAGAAAGAATTAAGAAAACTAAAATAAAAAGCACCAAGATTTCACAGAAGATGGATATGAATGGTTGGGAAATGCCTTTTGAGTCAAGAATCTCACCAAATTAATTCAAATAGCATCGCATGTCTCTCTGTGTGTGTCCAAATATCAGTTTGAAAATTGAACATGTTTGTGTCAATGGTTGTGGAGAAAACTGCTTGGAAAGTTAGTGTAGATGGTGCTGGTAGTTTGTAGAACGTGGAGACTGTTGAATCCCACGTTCGCGGAGCTTGTTGAACTCTCCGTTTGGATGCTTTTATCTCTATTTTAGTTAAAGGTTTTTTTACCAGTTTGTCCTCCATTTTTCCTATTTTTGGATTTCAATTGTGAAGAAAACAAAAGGGCTTTCTTGGTATTTCTGAATGCTTCACCAAACTGGTCTTCTCCATTTATATATATATATATATATATAAAAGATTGTTTTTTTCTGTGAGATATTAAACGCTCTCGCTCTCCTAAAATGGAGGAGGAGTGGTGTTGGTTGGTTGGGTTAAATTCATTTTATCTCATTTTTTTAAATTCATTATATCTCATTTTTTTCGTTTTTTTTCTTTGAAAACTGATTTGCGTCGAACGTGGTTGAATTTGTGTCTTCCACGTTTGTTCTTTTCAATTTTATCTCCTTTTTTTTCTAATTTTATCTCCTTTTTTTTCTAATTTTATCTCCTTTTTTTCTAATTTTTTTCTTTTTGGTTAAATTCATTTTACCTCCTGAGTGATCTGACCTCCCGAACCTTGCACCAAACTAAGGAAAATGAAGAGGAGGTTTGGCGTGAAAAAGCTTTAAAAATGGAAGAGAAGTTAGAGGACGGTGGGGGGGGGGGGGACGAATGAGGGTGTTCTATAACCGTAAAACTCCATTGTAGATAATTATCATCATTTTTTTGTTAATTAAAATAGTTAGTTTTAATTCTAAAGTAGAGATATATTTTTTTAATACAGATTTTTTAGTTATGGTTTTTTTTCCGGGTTTGTCCTCATTTTCTGGATTTGGATTGTGAAGAAAACAAAGGGGCTTTCTTGGCATTTTTGAATGCTTCACCAAACTAGGGCTCTCCTTTTATATATATAGATATATAGATTATCAGAACGTACATAGTTCCACCATGATCATGGAAAAGATTTGGACCCGTTCATATGTTGTTTTGAGTATAAAATTAACAAAACAAAAAAAAGATGAAATGACCTACTATCCAGTCACTATTCTTTCCTTGGTCCTCCCAAATTTGTATGCCAAACCATCGAAAAGTACATTTCAATGGGTCAATAATCTATATGCTATGGATGATCGTGTTTGTTAATTATATGAACTCAATCCCCTTCTTGGCTTGGATGTTGAATGCATGCACTTTTTTTATTGCAAATAAAATTTAACCTTTTCTTGATCCTCCCAAATTTGTATTTTCATGGGATAAATGGAGAAGCCAAAATGACTTGTCTTTGAAGTTTGAACTGAGATATTTTAAGCCTCCTAACTTGAAAAGAGAAAAGAACATAAACAGAATGAAGCTAAACATGATGTTCCTATCAATCTCTTACATAACAAAGGCCACTATAAAGTAGAACTTTATGTCTAAATGATAGCAAACAAAACAAGGCTTTAAATTGCCATCAAATTAAATTTAAGAAAAAAGAAAAAAAATTCAGTATTTGCTTTTCAAAAAACTTTATTGAGTACCCTTTTCTGGAAGAGTACATTAGTGACGTTTTGACTGGAAGAGTACATTTCCCCCACACTTGTTAGAAAAAACATGCCACAGGTCATCGTAGGTCCAAATTTGAAATTTTGATTTTCAAACACTTATACTGCTTATATACATGGATAAGTAGGATCGAACACACATATTTATTCCTTCATTATTCAGTACAATTGTCAATTGCGTAGGGTCGAACTGTTTAATTAGATTCTAATTACATCTTGATATATATAGAAACTTACAATGCCTACGTTCTCGACATACATCTTTGATCTTCATTGTTGAGCAAAAATTGTACATAATATGTAAACAAATAATTCACTCGACACAATTTCACCCTCGTTCATTTTTCCGAAGAGGGTTTTATTAATTCGAGTTCGACCCATTCTAGGCTACGCGCCTATTAATTACAACCTTTCTTTTGGGAAAGAAATACCCTTTGATTCCAATTCGAATAAAATGTAACTTGAGGATTTTGGTGTTTGTTTGATGTTGTGACTGCATCTAGGTCGAATCCTAGATTGCCTACGTACCCTCTTGAGGGATCAAGTCACTCGTAGTTCACGATGTATTTGTTGGAGTTTAATGCCTTGTGCAGTTTTAGCTCATGCGGGCAAAGAGCAACTGATGCCTTGTGCAGTTTTAGCTCATACAGGCGAGGACTTTAAGCCGTTGGAGCTTTAATGCCTTGTGCAGTTTTAGCTCATGCGGGCGAGGACTTTAAACCATTGGAGCTGTATGTAACTTCTTGATTTTTGAGACTTGTTGCAGCTTTGTGTCATTTGATACTTGATACGGCTTCATGCCATTTGAGACTTTTCTTCGGCTTCGTGCCATTGGCCACTTTTCTTCGGCTTTATTGCATGAGCAACATGTATTAATTGAAAGTCTAATAATTCGTGTTTGAAGATCTCTCTTACTCTTTGTAGAATTACTTGATCAAAATAGTAAGAATGAATTTAGTTTATATAAACCAGAGATTCGTTTCGGCTTTACGGTTGCGTCTAAAACTTTGATATCAGACTGCCTACGTATCCTTAACGGAATCAAACCGGCGTAGTTCATTAATTTTGAGACTCATCGCGACTTTGTGCTATTTGATACTTGATATGGCTTCGTGCGTTTTGAAGTTTAACACGGCTTCATGCTTCTTTTTTATGTACTTTTCTTTTGAATTTTCAACCCCTGGAACTTTGAACCCACTTTGGATTTTCAAGCCTTCTGACAACAAGCTTTACTCCTCCTTTTTTTTATTTTTTTTTATGTGACTTTAAAACTTTCCTCTTCTTCTTCACGTGGGCAATTTTCCATATGAGTTGATGATTTCAGTTAGCATTTCCCCTCTCTCGTTTTATATTCTTCTTTGAACTTTTCAAACCCATTTAAACATGTGATTTCGAACCCATCAAACCTAAACTTATGACCAATCTGACATCAAGATTTACACTTCTTTATTTGACTTTAAAGGTCTCCAATTCCAATGGGACTTCTAATTTCAATCGACCTTACTTTTCCTCTATATGAGCAGATTCCCACGTGATGAACAAGACTATTTCTTTGTTCCTCTTTTTCCTGGAACGTCTTCAAAGAATGGAGCAGCAGTAACGTGTCAAATTCTTTGGTGATCTTATGAAGGACAGGTTTTTGAGGACATGGTCTCCATACTTCTTGTTCTCAGAGCCAAAATTGATAAACTCTTATATGAATAAAACAAATGAAAAAGCCATTGGTTTTCTTCTCTTTATTTAATCTCCATGTAGAGCAATATTCCTACGTGATGAGCAACTTTTCCTTCTTTTATTTTCCTTCCTTTTCATTCATTTTGTCTTGAAGCCCATTTCATTTTGTCTTCACGTCCGTCATTTTGTTGTTGCTTTTCCATGTTCGTGCTTGTTGCTTGTTGCTGCAGTATTCAACATCTTCAACTTTGAAAAGATAGAGCATGGCGTCGGAACTCTCACGGAAATTTCAGGTTTGATTGGAACTTCACGGGATGGTTTAGACAACCCCGAAGAAATTCATAGGACTAAACTGCAGCGGCACAAACTGCTCCTTTTTCTTCTCGGCATGGACGAACTTGCTGGGCAGAGATCACGGCATGGCTGCTGCTGGTATGTCCATCTTTGCGCTGTTGGCGAGCCTCGGAACCATCGTTGGACATGCTGGGTTCTTTTTTTCCACTTGTTCAAACATGCAGAGTGATGGTTTCTTCTCCGTTGCATCTCTGAGAAGAGAAAGAGAGATGTCGAAAACCTCTTTAGACACCCGAGAAGCTGCAGGAGCTTCACAGAGAGCCTTTGAGCCTCTGTAATCTGTTTTAAAGTGCAACTTTAGAACCATTTCCGCTGCATCCTTGGACCTGGGGACATGACACTTTTCCCAAATTTTCGGCTTTCTTGCCTTCGGATGTCTTCCACATTTTCTGAAAGCCTTGGGTTATTCTCGCCACTGCCAGTGGGATGGGGATGGCTCATGGCGATTGGTGTTGCATTTTTTCTTTCATTTCTTCACACTGACCATCGCTGCCATCTTCTCATACGAGCCTTTGTCGAATTTGTTAATGGTCTGGACCCGCGTGCCTAACTACATCGCTTGGCTCAACGTCCTTGGAGTGCGGATGGCACTGCCCTTGGGCTTCTTCCGAAAGACTGCCGGAAACAACGGTTGAAGAGCGGTGGTATTGCGGTTTGGTTGATTGCTTGGTTCACCGTCCTCGGGGCCCTTGGGCTTCTTCCGAAGGAATGCTTGAGACAATGGTTGAAGAGCGGTGGTGACTGGGTTTTTATCAAAGCAACGCCCCTATTAAAAGGGGTGGATTGCTTTACCTGTTGTCAGCAAAATTAAGGGGGAAGGAGAAGAGAATTTTTTCTTCTCTTATCTTTTGGCTGCCACGGGGAAATTTGCCCATCCATCTTTCTGGCTTCGGTGAGAGAGGAAAAGCCAAGTTCCTCTTTCATTCATCCTGCAAAAAGCTGCACCCAATACACAAAACCAAGAACAAGTTAAAGATAAAGATCGATACCTTTGGGTATTTTGACGTTCTTTGTCGTGTGCACACTTTGATGTTCTTTGTCGTGTGTACACCTTCCTCCTTTCTTGTTTTTTTTTTTTTTTTTGCTGTTGTGTACTTTTCCCCCCACTGTCTTGCTTTGTTCTTCTTTGTCGTCCGTTCTTCACCGTCGTCTCTCAATTTCTGCAGTCTCTCTTTTTCTTTTTCTGTTTTTTTTTTCTTTGCTTTGGTTCGATGCCTTTTTATAGGCAAACAGTGGACATGGCAGTTGAAGTTAGTGGGATGCAACTTTCTTGGGGTGTGGAGATGCTGAGAGAAAACCATATCTTGAGTGGAGAACGTGAGAGTTTTAGAGGGTTCTAGATTCACACGTTCTCTACACCCAATTGCCATGTAGATGACAAACTCCTTCAGACTTGGTGTACGTTGAGGTCCACGTGTGCGGGTATAGAGTTGTTTTTTTCCTCTCTTTATTTCTTATATATATATTATATAAATATAGTATACATAAGAATATATGCACATAAAGTGAGCCTTATTTCTAGTCAGTCCATATTTTGGACTCTATTATTATTACTATTATTATTTTTAAGTCTCCCCATTTTTATTAAGACTTGCTAATATATTTTGTTTATGAAAATATATAGCTCAACATTCATCCCAACTCTCTCCGTCTTGGAGTCTCAGTAATTTCCATAGCCTAGTCACCTTCGACCTCATTCTACAACCGTGTCAACGAAGAAGTCGTCGTATCCCATCGAGAAGGGCTGGGAGTAAACAGATTTTTGGTTATATAGAAATTAAACTTTTTGCCATCTGGATGTTAAAACCCTATACAATATGCAGATATTTTTATCAAAATAATATGCAGTGTAAATTAACACAACAATATGAACCCTTGATTATGATAATCTTTGTTCTTTGATTCGGGTCAGTAAATACAAACTAAAATTTACTTAGAGATACTAAATACAAATAGTTAAAAAAAACAAATAATAAAAAAAAAATCCTAAAAACTGAATAGGTAAAGTTGAGATTTACCCACAATCAGTCAAAGCTTTGAACTCTACTTCTTGTCCAATGGTTGCAATTAGCACACATAGGCCTTGTTTGGCACACCGTATAAGGCACCAGATAGTACTAATAATACGGTGTACGGTGTTTGGTGGCCGTTTGGATTAAATAGGCACCGGATTAAATAATCTGGGCCCACCTTTTTTATCTGGTGTTTACCTGCTTGCGTATATCGTCCAAATTCACAGTATAATTTAGTCGGTCTCACTCTCGCTCTCGCTTCCCCTCCGCTCTCTCTCTCTCTCGCTCTCCGCTCGCGAACTCGACCCCCTTTCTCTCGCCTTCTCTTGGCGTCGTCGTCCTCCCTGTCACCTTCTCTCGCCATCGCCGTCCTCACTGTTGCCTTCTCTCGCCATTGCTTTCTCTCGCCATATTTGCTCTCCTAGTCCTCGTCGCCTTCCTCGTCGTCCTCTCCTTATGGCCTTCCTCATCGCCTACTCGTCGTCCTCCCTTGCAACTGGGTTTTTTGTCGTCGTTTTCTGCGGCAGAGAGATGATTTCAATTTGCTGTTTGAATTTATTTGGGATTCTTCTGCAGTCGGAGAAGAAGAAGAAGAGAGAGAGGGAGGGAGTTTGGGGGTGCGGCGGAGAGATATGAGGAACAATTATTTGGGATTCTTCTTTGGTCGGGGAAAAAGAAGAAGGAAGAGAGAGGGAGGGAGTTTGGGGGGTGCGGAGAGATCTGGAAAAAGTTTCAGTTTTTTATTTTTTTTATTTTAAGTTTAATTTTATTTTAAGTGTGATTCCTCCTATCCGATATAATATCAAACATAGTATAAATAATACGGTCATTAATCCGATACTGCACCAAACGCCCGATTAATTTAATCAGTACTATCCGGTGACTATTTATCTTATCCAACAGAAATAGTCAGTACAGTCCGAGCTGCTAAACAAGGTCACAGAATTGTCTGGAGCCTATAACAAAAATAAGAAGAGAAAATGAAAAAATAAAAATAAAAAAGCACGAAGCTTTCACTATAAAATAGAATTTTAGATATGAAATTTTACCCAAGATGGATATAAATGGTTGGCAAAAGCCGATTGCGTTAAGAATATCCCCAAATTAATCCAAACAGTATAGCACGGTCTCGCTTCCAAAGGGCTTGAAACTGGAACTCTGATACTAATTGGAATGAAATCCATGTGAGTACGTGTGAGATTGGAAATCGAAAATAGCACTTTAAAACTGAACGGTATTATCGCTTCTCCATGTAACTGCAAAGTATGTGCTGTTAATGCCGAAAACGTGGAGGAGATTATATTGTGCTTTTCCTTTTGAAATTCCACTGGAGAAAGGCGCTTTTGTAGAAGGATGTAGTTCATTATTTATGTGATGGGTAATCCAAGGGTCTCAATTAATTTGAAAGTGTTGGTGCCTTGCGTTTGATGGTTGTAAATTCTCATTTATTATATGTGCAGATATATTGTCCGCATCTAAACATCTCTCAATATTTTATTTTTTGTATGACAATTTTAACCCTATTATATTTGTGTATTACCATTTAACCGTATTATATTGGGACAGTCGTGTAGTTTTTTATTTTTTGAAATGAGGATATTTTGGGTTTATCGAATGCTTCATCAAATTGTGGCTCTCATTTTATATATATAGATAATTTGGAGATTTTTACTTGATTATCATTTGAACTATTCGAAATTATTTATCTTTACCAGATTTTTTTAATGGGTTTTGGACCAATTTGTAGAAAGCTCCCTCTTTTGTGTATTGGTTATTCAGTTTCTAGCTTAATTGTTGCCATTCTAGAATGCCAGAGACATTTATAGGAGTTACTGAAGTTACTCAATTACCAGTTCTTTACAAAAAGCCTTCTTCAGCCGCAGAAATTCTTGAGCTTTCATCCCACCAGAGATTGGTGGCTTCAACTGTTGGAAAATATTATTATTTAGTTTATTTTAATGTTTGGTTTTATGAGCTCAGCCCTTAGAATTAGGTTTTGTTAGAGATTAGGTTTAGTTTATTATAAATAGGTTGCTTTGTTATTCATTAGAAAATAATTCATTCACAATGTAGTCTCTAGGGTTTTTGTAGCCGTCTCGTCATTCTCAATTCGTTCTTTTAATAATATTCATATTATTTGTTAGTCTTGTTCGTTGCGCACTCTGATATTCAACTTGGTATCAGAGCAGGTTAAATCCTTCGGGAATTAATCTGTTTTGGGGTTGATATCGATTTGTTTGTTTGTTCACTATCAGTTTTGTTTTAATTAGGTTTTTGTTGTTTGAAAACAAAGAAAAAAAGTTGAACCTGTTTGCTTGGGACTTGGGAGGCATCCCAAACCTGCACCGAAGCTGCTGTTTGCATCCGCTCCACTCTGTCATCAAGCCACAAACCCAACCCACCTGCTGCAACCTTTCTCTCTTGCAGAATCACCCGCACCGTTTCTGCACCTGGATCCGTCTCCACCACCCTACACCCGCGAAGAATAAAAAGGCTGATGTTGTTGGTTTGCACGGTAAAAAAAAAAAAAATAGAAAGGATCTTGCTGCTGCTGTTGTTTGTTCGCACAGAAAAGGAAAAAAAATTGGATTTTTTATTCTTTGTTTGTTTGTTCGGAAGTTGGAATTTCCACTGGCATTGGAATCTTGCACTAGCATGAAAATCTTGCATTGGCATTGAAATCTTGCACTTGCACCGGTGAAATTTCATATGGGTATTGGCATCGGCATTGACACTAGCATTGGAATTTGGAGTTTTGCATCCACATCTACTTTGGCAAACCCATGTCGTGAACCGCCATGAGTTTGACGGGGGGGTGTTGGAAAATATTATTATTTAGTTTATTTTAATGTTTGGTATTTTGGGCTTAGCCCGTTAGAATTAGGTTTTGTTAGAGATTAGGTTTAGTTTATTATAAATAGGTTGCTTTGTTATTCATTAGAAAATAATTCATTCACAATGTAGTCTCTAGGGTTTTTGTAGTCGTCTCGGCATTCTCAATTCGTTCTTTTAATAATATTCATATTATTTGTTAGTCTTGTTCGTTGCGCACTCTGATATTCAACTTTCGTCGTCGCTCAGGCTGATGACCCATTGGTGTCGGGTACGGTTTAGTTTTGTTTCTTTTTTCGCGGATTTAATTTGATGTATTGTATTATTTATCTGATGACGATGCTCCACTAGCTTCGAATTTTGTGCGGCACTGAAACACCCCAACCCCATTTTATTTAAAAATTGTTTTAAGGTCTTAATTGGTGAGCCCGTAGGGCCCACCTTATAATTTTTTTTGTTTTCCCCCAGTCTCTCTCTTCCTTCTTCGTCTCTCTCCCCCGTAACTCTCCCTTAGCTCTCTCCCTCTCAGCTATCCCGTACCTCTCTCCCTCAACCTCTCACATCTCTCTCTTCCCCTGGACTCACTAGGACCGAGTCACCATCGAAGAGAGGCTCGCAACGAACCAGGGATCCCTGCACTGCGGCTCGACGGCACGGAGCAAAGCTCCGGCGAGTTTTCCCCATTTTTCCGTCGGGTAGGTCTCAAATCTCTCACTCTCGTACCTAGTTCTTGGTTTGGTTGTGATTTAGAAGCTTGAACCTTACCTTTTTACGTAGGTTTTTGCTTCGGAACGGTCGTGGGTGCAACACCCACTTTTTCCGGTGAACCCGTGCACCCCGAGGACTTTCCCGGTCACCTCCGACCGAGTTACGATGTTAGGAAGGTATAAATCTCTTCCTCTCTCCTTGTGCTTCACGTTCGTACCTAGATCGGAGCTTGAAGCTCCAGTTTTCAGGTGACCGGAGCTGTAGCAGCTCCGGCCTTCTCTCTCGGCAAGCCACAGGCCAAACCGGCCTTTCCCATTTTCCTTTCCCACGGGCCTCCAGCCCGTTTTGCCTTAGCCCAGTACCCTAACCCATTCCATTTTTATTTTTAGTTATTTAAATTTTTTAAAGCCCAAAGGGCTCGGGCCCTAGCTTTTGTTTTGGCCTTGGGCCGGTTTTTAATCAAGGGCTTAAAGCCCTGTTTTCTGTAGTGAGGCCTGAGGGCCTTGTGCCCGTGTGTGTGTGTGGCTAAGTTTATATGTTTGGGCTTAATGCCCAAACCCCTTTCCATCCCCTTTTAATTCTAGAGCCCTAGGTTCCCAAAACCCATTAAAAACCCTAAACCCATCCAATCCCAAATCCCTTATTTAAATTAATTCAAAACCAATCTTTTAGAAAAATCATTTTATTAATTATACATTCTTGTTCTTAGGTAAAATTGCTAGTGGAGAAATTCTAAATCCTTATTCCCGCAACTCTTCTGCTAAGGAATATTTGTGAGTGGACCCCTTCTAAAATTACATGATTTTATAGTTAATTGCATAAATGATTAGCATGCCTACGAATTTATGAAGTGATTTAGGTGAAGCCTGTTGATTAAATATATATTGATTATCGTCTCGTGTTTTGGTGAGGAATTAATTGTTAGCCTATACTGAGCTATATTTCAATATATCGTATTTTCTATAAAAACCATGAACTGGTAGACTATCTGACAGATGACGATAGGATGCTAGAACATGTTTTTGAACCCCTCTTTATAGCGTAGACGATATTCGGTAACCTATGCTATGAAGTGGTTATTTAAGAGAGACGTAACTATTTGTGCGTACCTAGTGGACACTATGCCGCCTGGGGCGAGGATCTGGTGTTGGCATGTAGGCCGGGAGAAATAATCCCTAACGAAAGGCTGAGGGACACGGAGACAGGCATTGGGCCGGGAGGGAGTTATCTCTGGCTACGGGCACAGAGACTGAGGTGCAGGCATTGGGCCGGGAGTTATATTTATTCAGTGATCTTTCTAGTAGCACACCGCGTTTACGAGACGTTTACTGTTTTGATTTTCCGCGATGTTATTCCGCGATATGGCTTTTTGAGATACTTTGGTATGCTAGGATTTCTTATTAAATCCATCACTTACTATGCTAGTAGTTTTCACTATTAAACTTTGGGGGTTAGTATGTTGATAATTGTTTTATTATTATTATATATATATAAACTTGGTCCACTCACCTTTGTTTTGCGCCCCCATTCAGGACTTAGAATCAAGGCACCTAATCCCGGCGTGGAGACACTTCCGCAGCAGCATCTTCGGATCCTCTCGATGTAGGACCCACTCCTTTATTCGTTAAATTTTATCTTAATTCCTTTTAGTGATTAGGTTTAATTGTATGCTCTGAGCACGTTCCTAAATTATAAATTCTTGGTATTTTAAATTCATAACCCTTATTTATTTCTTATTCTTAGCTTTTGTATCAATTAATGGCTTTCGTCACCCTCGGGTGTCGGCCAACACGTGTCTATCCTGGTATTCGGGGAATATCAGGGTCGGGGCGTGTCAGGCACGTTAGGCCATCTCTAACCGAAGGGTCCAGAGGGCTAGAGGGTCGAAAATAGCCCTAAAACCGTCTCCAACCGAGGGCTAGGCCAGAGGGCTCGGGAATATGGGAGGGCCCCATGGAATTTCAAAGGGCCAAAGGGCCAAAAGGCTGGCTGCTTTCGACCAGCCAGCCAGCCCCGGGCTGGCTATTTTTTTTTTTATAGTTTTCCTATTGTTGTTGGTTATAACCGACATCATTAAATAATGATTTTTAATACTGTCGGTTATAGGCAAAATTTTTTATTTATTTACTATTAGTGTCGGTTATAATCGACACTAATAGTTTGAAATTTTTTTGAATATAACAGCTAGCTGAGTCAGCTAGCCGTTGGGTTTTTATTTTTTAATTTAAACATTTCTTTTCTTCCATCCCATCCACATAATTAAACTTCATACACCAACCAACATTGAATAACTCTTGAACAATAATAATTATATGATTCAATGTTCATTCAACGAAGAGTAACACTAAATACACATTAGTGGATCTATAATTTTAATATTGGGTGGTCTTAATTAAGGTATGTTTTACGCTAGTTTAACAGCTGGTTGGAACTTAACACTTATACACCTAGATAAGACCTACGCTTTATTAATTAAAATGTTAGGTGGAACAACCTCATTGAATAACAATTAAAAAAAATGTTAGGTGAGACCTATGCTTTTTCATATAACTTCTATTTTTTTCTATAACTTCTATTTCACAAAATTTGTTTCATATTTTTTTTTAATTCTATTTTTTTTCCTATAACTTCCTAAACCATTGGATTTGAATTTAAGTTATAGTTTTTAAATAATAACTTATGTTTGGCCCTATAGCTCTCTGTTGGAGACAGTTTTTTGTGAAATGGCTAAAACGAGTCATCTAGCCCTCGGTTGGAGATGGAGACAAATATGGTCATGTACTGTTCATTAAAATATTAATATCTTGGAGAATTTTGGAGGGGCAGAGGGCTAAAACAAGCCTTCTGGCTAGCCATCGGTTGGAGATAGCCTTTGATCATCCAAGGGCTCTCAATAGAGTTAGGGCGGCGGGATCCGGATCTGAGATGGTTGAACACTCTATAGCCAGTTAATACTTTTGCCCACCAATCCGCTCGGTTATGTAAATAACCTCTGGGTTGTGATGGTTCTTTATCTCTCTTAGTTGAGATTCTTTGAATTTTTTGTTCACATTTTATGCAATTGATCGCTGGGCATTTGAAGACGAACATGGAGGAAAAATTGGATAATTATCCTCCTAAACTGAGCAGTTATTATAATTATAACACGTTAAAAAAAATTGGAGCTCAAATTTGAAATTGCAATTGGTTTTTTTCCTTTCCTGCAAAAACTAAATCGTCTTCACTCTCAGGTATGTTACTTTGATGTTTGATTTATTTTTAATTTCCCTTTTTATCGTTAACTCTAGATTTGATCAAATATATAGGCTGATTGGTGAATCCCCAGTGATCGATGCGTTTTCAATATATGAGTTGGTGGTTTCATTCTTTTGGGTAACTTCGTTAAGTCTTTTTTCCTCCTGTCCATGAATTCATTTTAATTAATTTTTTAGAAATGTTCATTTTTGGTTTCTAGGAAATTAAGGCTCTGTTTGGTATTCTACTTGAATCCAATTTTTTTAACTCAAAAATAATTTTCAAGTTTTAGGCCTTAAAAACTTGTTTGGTATGACTATTTTTAAAAATTGAACTCAAGACTAACTCAAAAATATTGTCTATTATCTAAAAACATAAAAAGTGAGTTTTTAGAGTTTTTAAATTTAAATTCACTCATTTCTTTTCTCTCCCTCCTCCCCTCACTACAAATCTATCTCTCTTTTGTTCTTTCTCTCCTCTTTTTTATTTTACCTTTGTCGTCTCTTCTCCAATCTGATGTCTTCATTCTCTCGATTCTTTCTCTCACTCCTCTTTCTCTCTATCTCGTCCGATCCTCTCTCTTCTTTCCCTTTCCTTTAATCATCTCTTACTTTTTTTTCCCATCTTTCCTCTTTCTCCCTCTCCTACGACTCTCTCTTTTTAGATATCTTTGTCTATTTTAAAGCACAAACCAATCAAGTTTTTTAGTCTTAAAGAAAATTATTTTCAAGAAATATTTTGAGAAATGATAAAAAAATTTAAATAGGATACCAAACATACACTAAAAGTTTGAACCTTTTTTATCTGCTTCTATTTCCTGCGCGCATACTTTTTTTATAGACAATTGGTGGACGATGTTTTGATGGGAGGGCGGCTGTCACGTAGGACGACGATCTATGCTTTGTTTTATGGGCATGCCCATTTTCTTAACATGTGTCTCATATTTCCCATTCTGTTTTTCCTATTTTTCAATTCACGCTTTTCTCTTTCTCACTCTTCGCCCGTAGAGCCGTCAGGTGTGTCGAAGTGGTTGGATATGTTTGATGTGAAACAACTGGCGTGCTCTGAGAGGCTACGTGAAGGGTATATTTCTATTTTCTTTTTCTTCCATGTTTTATTTATTTATTGGCGATCAAATGATACTTTGTTCTTCTTCCATTTTGGAAGAAAAATGTTACAATTGCTCTATTCTGTAATGGTTTCAAGGCTCTACAAAAAGGTCGTACCCAGTGCACAAGACTTCCGCTTTACGCAGGGTCTGGGAGAGGTGAATGTCGGCTAGCCTTACCCCAATTTATGAAGATGTCCTTAATTGTTTATGTCATCTTTAGTTTATCTTAATAATGTAATCTACGATCAAACCTATATGTAGTATGAACACTATATCAGAGAAGGGATTTTTATTTTCGTACTTTGTATTCAGAGGAAACAAAGAAGAACCATGGGAAGACATCTACAGTCGGTCCAAGAACAGTGATTATAGAATTTGGGTTCAACTCCTTCTTATTTCCTGTAATCAGTTCAACTTCTTATTTCCTTATATTCAGTTGGATTTCCTCTTCGTTGGGGTTGATTATAGAATTTGGGTTTGTCATTTGGTGTTTTAAGTATTCGTAAGAGTGTTTGCTTATTTTTTAGGGTGATATCCTTATCGCGTTGCCCTTTACATGGACCAAAATAAAGAAAGAGACTTGGAACCCTTACTTTCTGTAAGTTCTTTTAGGAAGGGGGAAAAGTACGGGTGGCACTACTTCTCCTTTTATTTGAATAGGAGTGAGGAGACAAGAATGTATATACACTACAAGAAAAAAAAAGTCTAAGAACACAATTCATTGGTGCCCTTTTCAATTTCATTGAGCACAGATATGTATTTGTGCTTTTATGTTTCATTGAGCACAAAATTATCTCGAATTGATAAAGTAAACATGTTCTTTATCTGAGTATGCTTTGTCTATTTTTGTTACTTCATGTTTCGATCACTTCTTTGCATAAATAAGATGCCGTGCAAGCAAGTAAAGCTTTCTGGGTTTTACATGTCTACTGATTTTGAAGCTGGAGTGTCAAACCATGAAAATGGTTGTCAGATTGCGGTTTAAGAGTTGCTTGACTATTAAATATTTTACGTTGTTTAAAATATTGTTCAACGAAGAGTTGCTTGGCTATTAATTAGTGTAAGATTCAGAGGAATGTAGTTTATCATACTCAAGAGTGCAGGTAGTATTCTGTGATTTGGCATAATTTTGTATGTAATTGATTCTTCTTCTCTAATTCCCCTATTTCCTTTTGTTCTGTATATAATGGATCGTCTTAAATTTACAGGTTCATGGCTCATTCAGGCTTCAAATGATTTGATTACTTTCTTTTTAGGAATATGAACTGGAACAACTTCGAAGTTCGGGTGTAATTATTTGTCTTATCAAGTAATTAACTGTATCTTATCTGTTTGTTTTTCATGCATGGGATTGTATTTTTGATTGGAAGGTTATAAAAATGAACACCTTTTACAGTGCTCCAAAATACGATAGATATACATGTTTTGCACAAATTAAAACAAGATTATTACTACATTATGTATTCAATTTTAATTAAGGTACAATATCTATACCAAATAAAATAGGGTTGGCATATACACATTAAGAGAACAACCTCCATTTGCACTTTTAATAGAAAAAGGCTCGGGTATGATTGTAAAAACAAAAACAAAATTGTTAACCCATTTTTCTTAGAATAAAAACATGATTAGGCGATCTACTAATAAAGAGATTGGAAACTAATGTAATAAACTTTCATCTTCTATAGGAAAATACAAACAAGTTAAGCATGACCAATTAAGAAAACACCATTTGCAAATACATAAAATTCGTCAATCAGCTCTCAACGAGTAAGAATGTCGATAGACAAATGAACACCTAATGCCTCCTAAAAAAGGCTGTTTTAATCCTCTCACACGCAAGTGTTGTTTCACTATTGCATGAAAACAACCAACACAATATATAATTAAAACCGCGTAGTGCCGGTAATTAAAAAAATGCCTCTTGCGTGACCATGATAAAAGAGACCATGATTTAGTAATGGCACCATCACATTACAAGTAGACTTTATGTTTTTGTATGTACATATTGTGCATCGTTTTGTTTTGAATCAATGTATCAAAACATTCCATCATTTGATCATGATATATAGCTTGAAAAATGTGACATACGCCATACAATTAAACATTAATGCCATTTTAGTTTACATAGTTATCAAACAAATTTCTTGCGCCCTTAAAGATGTCGTGCATTAGTTGTTTTCAATTTGTTTAGTGAGCCATTTTGACAATTACAATGAAAAAAACTAATGCAAGACATATATAGGGGCGCGTAGTGCACGTGATTGAAAAAAGGTCTCTCGCAAGTGCGTGTGGATAGGATAATCTATATATAAATATATAGTTTTGTGAGATATTAAATTCTTCTTATCTCATTTTTAAATTTCTTAGATATTTTTTTAAAATATAATT